TTGGTTTGGCGATTAGGTGCCTGACTCTGAGGCTGTGGGTTCGAATCCCGGATGGGACTCAACCCAACAAAAGTATTAGAATCTGTACTGTACTAAGAAAGTGTTATCTCAAATATAACATATGTTACTTGTTCATCCATGTATTGTAATACTTCTGTGATGTTAGACACATACTCTATTTAAAGTATTGACCAAACATCACATAGCCACGAATGTAAAGTGGAACGAAACTGGAGATTGAGAACATCGTCAAGGAATTGTGGTGTCGGTATACATACATATTAAACCAGGTAACACTTTCTTAACTGTGATGTAGTGGATAGAGCGTCTTTACATTCAGCGGAAGGTCGGTGGTTCTCAAACATGACATGTTTAACCTCATGTCTACGTTATCTCATTACACCCAGCTCTTATAAACATACATGACATCTTTTTTTCATTTAAAAAAAAATATTTTATGGAATCATAACATGACATCAACGCCAGAGAATAACTGCCCTTCATGATCCTTTGAACAGTTTCCATAAGGCGTAACAATAGTAATGACATACTAGTATATTTTGTAACAATAGAACTAAATAGAAATAGAAATAGAAAACAATAGAAAAGTGACAGAAGAGGCTCGCGATATGCATTGCGTCATCACAGAGATTCGCTACTTCACTGATTTTAAACGTATGGAAAGAGTCCATATATACAAATATCATTAATGTGCATTATCTATCAACACATAAATATATAAGAAAGAGGCACAATACAATCATCATATTTATTTTACCAAACATCATACACGTTATGCCTAAACTATTTTGAGACATTTACCAGAATGTACCTCCTAGTGCCATTTTTAACAAATTAGAAAATTAATGCATTTGTGTGATGTAGGCTCGTACGTTTATGACAATATCCATATTTTAACAAACGAGGGTTAAATGGATGAACGTGGACATACATGTTTACCTGATATTTCATAAGGTCATCTTGAATCCAAAGAATATGCAGTCGGGTAAAGGTATTAGACACCAGATATATAAGGGCAAACAAACTGGGGATGAGCGTAGGGATTCAATTAATGTTAATTACGTCCATTATCGTCTCACTAATTAGAAGATGAATGTTGGTAAAATGTCATATCCACTCTTGAATGAGAACAGATTGATTTAGTATATTTATCATTCATAACTATGTGTTAAATTCGAATGCATGATCATAGCGCTACATAAACATAAAATAAAATGAGATAGAAAGAATCTATTAATGAAAGTGACAATCGTCCGTAATAATTGTATTTTAGCATGAAGGAGGTTTTTTAGATATTTAGGACTGCTTTAAAACAGTACAATAACTTGTTTTGTAGGTTGTTTCTTTACATTTTGAGTCGGGTATTTGGGTGGAGTCTAAAATAGTAAAAAAAGTCAAGTGCCATATCAAATCCGCGCAGGCTATTTATTTTTGAAGTCATCCTCCCCACTTTATTGAATTTATGTAAAGTGTGCTGAGATGGACACAATTTCTGCAGACATCTAAACATGAACAAGTAGTATAGAATTTTCGAGTTTTGATGGTATGCAGTTGCAGTTTTTAGGAAACAATATTTTGACAGAGGTCAATAGCAGCTAGCAAAGTTCTTAATACACTATAGAGTTTACAGCTAGTCTCTTTAGCTTGTACAGTCATAGTTTCATACACTTTGAGCCCCATTAACCACGAAGAAAAGATAATGCCTATATATTCATAATAAGTCACAGTTTTCTTTTCAGTCTCAGCCATTATTATCATTCTCTAATCCCCATTTCAAACTATAGACAGAAACATCCCTTTTTCATTTAGAAACCAATCACAGAGAAGATCTATCAAAAGAAGATCATCTGTAACTGACAGTAACAATTGTTTGAAGAACATATTTACCTCTAGCAGCCCTCTGCTTAAACCCCAACTAACTCATTTATAACGAGAATAAATAGAAATGGGCTCAACATGTGCTAAATACATCTGACCTTCTATAATCAGATTTCACACAAACCTGTAGCTTTGAATATATGTCACTTAAATCGTTAAATATATATCTTCCCACCTATTCCTTTATTGGGTAAAATAAATAACAATTTCTGTCTATTCTGTTAAGACTTTCTTCCCTTTTAGGACATAGCGACTGAAGGGTAAATGTATTATCCACGGAATCCACCGAGAGAATCTAAAATATAACAATCCCTTTCATCCAAATTCTAACCTCCAAAAAATAGACTGATAGAAGAATAATGATATGGACGTAACTGATAATTGACAATTGTGTAATCTCGAGATATGTTTTGGACTGCTTAGATAAAGGTCGACGTCCATATGGCTGCATGGAAAAATATCCTCTCATGAATAGTGAGTAATGCATAAGTTACATGGGTTGTTTTATTAAACACCATAAAGAATAAGGCACATGTATGGACTGCCGTTTAGGACGTCTAGAACCTATCTCAAATGTTGAATGTATTTGAACAGTTGCCACGTTATTTATATAATTAATAATACGTGATAAAATCATTTACAGCCGATATACCAACGTTGGTAAAGTGACTGAAGCATTTAGTTTCATGAACTGTACATAGAGTGCTAACACCATAAATCCCATCTTACAAACATGAAAATTATCGGCTAACTTTGTGTGCTGGCGATTAAGTACTAGAATCTGTACTTTACTAAGAAAGTGTAATCCCAAATATAACATATGTTACAAAATATCAATAATATCATAAAATATGAACATTCTGGTTGTAAAAGTAATCTACGTCATCAAATGTACTAGAATACACTGTATACAAATATGGGGGTACGTATACAGGGGTTGATGGTTTGTGTCAACAAGAAAACAGTAATTCAATAAAGAAATATATTATACATAGATCAACACAACAAGTCAATGAACAAATAACAGTGTTCAATGTAACATTCAGGACACTGAAAGTGCAAGTTTGCCATTCACCCGTTACATGTTTGAAACCATAATGTATATGTTTGACTAACTAAACCAAGATATAAAGTATAGCTCCACTGCAAGTGTGAGCAGTATCCACAGTTCAATTCAGTTATTATCTTAGACTTGGTTGACATAGCATACCTGAGTTTCTACGTTAGTGAATGCACACAAAGTCAATATACTTCCAAAGTGACTTTCGTCTGCTTGTGATACCACTTGTGATACCACCAATTTCAAAATGACACATTACACTCCATATCTCTGCTCTGTCAGGATATCATAAACATTGACGAGAAGGTTATGTATATGTTTAGATTTGAGACACCACCTTCCACATGTAAGTAGAAGTATATGAAAATAGTCATAAAATAAGAACATTCTTGTGTTTACAAAAATCTCCATCTGATGTAAGACATACAAACATTTTGTGTTCAAAATATATCATGTACACGAGAAGACAATGTGCAAATAAGAGTGTCCTGTATAATATTCAAGATACTAGACGTAGACATAGACTAGTATGTATGTATGTATGTATGTATGTATGTATGTATGTATGTATGTATGTATGTATGTATGTATGTATGTATGTATGTATGTATGTATGCATGTATGTATATGCATGCATGCATGCATGCATGTATGTGCCTGCGTGCGTGAGCATGCATGTATGTTTGTTTGTTCAAGGCTACAATCGTGATACATAACATAGCTATAATACAGATGTGTACAATACTATTCATGTCATAGTACAGATCCAGCTGAACACCTATTAGCAAAAATACATAGGAAAAAGTACATATGTGAGTTTCTTACCTCACTTGATATTAATTCCATGACATTAACGAACATGAAGTAAATACACTTTCAGCGTGTATATATCAGTTTTCTTTGGCGGGTCTTACCCATCTGTGACTGTTTGACACTTTCTATTCACTCTCTTTCAACATCGTAGTAAAATATACCCATGCATTTGAAGCAGCATCGCTATTCTTTTACAAAGTAAATGCCAGCATTATTGATGTGAGAGAAAACAATGAACTAACAATGTAGTCATCGCCTATGGTATATGCTACAACGTCACATATTGATTGAAGTACTAAGTCAGAAACGAGTTTTCTTGTCTTGAAGTTGTGTGATGTATGGTTTAGAGTGTAGTGTCCGGACTGTAATCTGTGGATTTGCCACAGTGTCCTCAAGTAAGCCCCAAAATGCGTTGAGGATCATATGGATGTGTTTCTCTGTAAAACAATCTTTCCGGGCATACAAGACAATAGCTATTGTCTTGGACATGTTCCTGTTGAGGATGTCAAAATAAAGTTCTGTGTTAGGGCCAAACAGTGCTTTCACCCGAACAGTGGCACCAAAGTCGCCACGCATATCGTTTCCTTCACCCATGTTCCTCATCTCATCACTCCCAAATGTGACAAAAGACGTCATTACCTTGTTGTAGTCATCCTCTGGAAGGAAATGCATCAAATCCCCAAAAGGAAATATTCCATTCTCTATGCACTTTTCAAGCATGGCACTGTTCTCTCTGAGAAATGTAACAACTGTCAATTTGCCATCATCTCTTACTTCACAGGACAGAGGTGTAAAATTAACTCCTCTTCCAACAGATGTTGTTAACTTTGGGCTAAAGATTCTTTGATCAACGTATGTTGACATGGCAAATTTCTGGCCATTTGCTCTGGTTGACCAAAGAAGTTGAACGAGTCCTACGAGGCACTTGAACCGTGACAACCCTTCTTTGTCAGTGAAAGATTTCAACTTCTGGAACAGGTCAGCTGATATAATTTTCTGTACACTTATACTGTCCATTTGTGGTGTGGAGGACACGGCCCTATCTGCAAAGGAAATGTATGGAACTGTTTCAAGTGTTTTTATCCAAAATTCCTTTATCTGTTCATATCTTGGTTGAAGGATTGTCCTTATTTCTGGACCAATGGGCATATCTGGAGCACTTTGTACATCACTCAGAGACTGTCCCTGTGAGAAAGCTTGACCTATATTCATGAAGTCATTTACGAAGACTGTAATTCCCCGGTGGTCAAAGCCAATTCTGTGAAAGACAATGATGAGATGTGGGGGATTTCCTTTCACAAAGACAAATCGTATTGGTCCTTGGCGATCAAGATAAAACCGTTCTTCTGTGAGACGTGTTACGTCAGGATGGTTTGTCAGATCACCTATCCTGTAGTCAATATCAGCCCCGGCACTCAGCATTGATTTTCTTGCTTCTCCATTCACATCATGAAAAGTTGTAATGCAGATTGGGTGTCGTCTGACGTTTTCCTGGAGAATTTTCTTGACAGACGTTGGCTCTAAAACATCAGGCAATTCCACTTCCACAATCAAAAAAAGTGATATATGGTTTGGATCTCTCATGTAGTTGTCAAAAACAAACTGTTCACCTGAGGTAAGAACTGCGTCAGATTCTAATGAATCTTTGACTGGAAGAGACTGCTCATGTTTCTGATCACCATTCCCTTTGATCATCCAGTCATCATAAATGTACTTTGAGATTTGAGACACCGATGCGTTTTCAACATTCAATTTTGTTGATGATAGCTGTACGTTTGTGTCATCCATGATTTCCCCAGTAATTTGCATGAAATTCATTGAGTCAACTCCCTGATCTCTGGTTCCTTGCTCCACATCTAGAGAGGATTCGTCAAGCATAGCTACATCAATAACCACAGCCTTCACGTACTTCACAAGTTTGGGTAGAACATTTTCCTTTGACATTTTCTTCATTTCCTCAAAGTTAAATGTTTCCACATTACTTGGTGAAGCTGAAGACATTGCTGCCTTAAATGGAGACAAGACCGATCTAAATCGAGACTCCAGTTCCACATTGGTCTCTCTTTGAAGGCTTTGTCCAAATTTTACCAACTGGAGACCGCACATAATGATCTGTGGCTTATTCAACATGAGGATGTGTGTGAGACAGTCAGGTATACTTCTCTTGTGTATCAGAACGTATCCAAACGATTCCATTTGTTTTATATGTCTTTCTTGCAGCATGCCCATATTCAGAGGACCCCAGTTAACAGTCTGACCACAGTTGCCATTTTGCCTCCTGACATGGGCTAGGGCATCCATGAATCCATTCCCAGCACCATAGTTTGTCTGTCCAGCATTTCCAAAGACAGATACTACTGATGAAAACAGCACAAAATAGTCCAGTGGGAGATGCTCTGTCAGGATATGCAGATTCCAGGATCCAGTAACTTTGGGAGAAGAAGCTGCCTTGAATTTGTCTCTCGTCATTTCTAAAAGAATTCCATCCTTTAGAACAGCAGCTCCAAAGAAAACTCCTTTCAAAATATAGGCAGGGAAACGGGTTCCTAGCTTCTTCAAAGCTGATCCTATTTCCTTGATATCTTGAACATCAGCTGACTGAGATGTAACAATGCATCCATACATCTCGGACACATGCTTCATTTCATCTTGTTTGTTTGGATCTGGATTACGTCTGCTGATAATAGTAATGCACCCAGCACCTTTGGATGCCAGATACAAGACACATTCACATCCTAGTCCTGTCATTCCACCCACAACAATGTACATTCCCCTTCTGTCAAACAAGAGAATCTCAGGTACCTTTAACTGTGTTGTCGTGACGTTGTTGTTCTCTTGCATGTTGAACTCCCATGTTTCTAGGATTTCTGCGATGTTAATAGGAGCACTGTGGTGGTGATTCAAGGCAATGTAGTTGCAGTCCCTAAACGAAACGCATATCTTTGTGATATTCTGTTTATTTTTCTTTATCCATGTGTATAGCTTTGGAATATGTTCATCCATTTGACAGAAGGCAAGGAACTCTTGGGTCCTGACAATTGCTATTTTCAGTCTTGGCTTTACAGACTTTAGCAAATTTATCACTTTGAGTGATATCAGCTTCTCTAAGGATATCAGCTGTTCAAGACAGTCCCATGCAAGGACAATCTGTTGTGCTAGTTCTGTTGTAATTTGAGTAGTTGATATGAGAACATGATGTCCTTTGTGGCTTGGTATTTCTTCTGGAGTCAGTAAAGAAACTGTCCTGGTTTGTTTTGACAGCAATATGATTTCCATCACTTCTGCATTTTTCCTTGTCTGGTGTGAGTAGAGTATAACCACATCTTTCATGCTGCACTCACCACACACTCGCCATAGACAGTACAGCTTCAGCATAAATCCTGTCTCAAAATGACCTCCTAAGTGTTTGACATTCAGTGCAAATTTCATCGGGACATAGTGTTCATATCTCACCTGTTGTGGATAGCAGGCAATGTACATCTTTCTTCTGCTATTTCCGTTTGCAAAGCCAGTTGATTCAAATGTAACTACAGGATTTCCCTTGCTGGTTCCCATGTAGCCTCCATTGACAAGAGGATACAGAACTTGTTCAGACAGGAATTTAGTGTGAACTGCTACACACTGTGCAGAAAGCAAAATGTCATCTTTGCCCCTTTCTTGCATGTTTCTTGACATTGTAAAGAAAAGCTGTGATATTTCTTCAGAGGAAGTTGAATAGAGGACAGTGTCCAGACTGGCCATCTTTCTGTCCACTCTAAATGGCGGTGTTGAGTCGGGTTCCTTTTGAAACGTCTGTCCATACATTCGTCTATGAAGGCTTTCGAATTCAGCATGACCTTTGACATTCAAGACTTGCGAGATTTCAGACATTATGATAGTTGCATCGTATTGGTCCATGTTACCAACATTGAGATCCAGTGATTTTACATTTAGCCTTGTGAATTCCCTTCTAACACATCTGATGTATGCCCGAATACTTTCGTGAATGCAAGCAAGTGCATGAGATTTTCTATCTGGGCTTTGGTAGTCTAATGGTGTTGCCATTGTGACAATGAGCAAGGGTGTCTTGATGGCATGCTGTGACATTTTAAGTATAAGAGATCTTAAAGGCATGATCTTCTCCTCCAATTCTTTCTCCATTTCCATTCCATTGTCAACAAAGTGAGGCTTGGATTGAAACAGTACTACTATTCCAGATGACTCTCGAAGGTCTGCAACATAGCTATCGCCATGTAAAATGGACATATGGTGAACTGTCCATGGATAGTGTGGGGTCTTTGACATAGACATCTCATCACTAAACATAACAAGGTTTGTTATGCTGTCAGTGTCATGCTCAGGATGTATTTCTTCTGCTTCAATTGTGTATGCAACACTCCTGACATCAAAGGACTCTATACCCATGGCTTTCAATGTAAATTTTCCAACGTGTGCAATGACATACCCTTCGGTTGTCAGCAGTGACAGGCTATGGCACACATACCATTCACTTTCATGTAACACTTTCAAATGCACAAACATCTTTCTGTCTGTCTTCCTCTTGACTATCAAATGTTCTACAGAGTATGGAAGCATATCTTTGATCACTTGCGTGACAGTTGCAGGCGTCTGTAGCATGCCATCTAGTATTGCAGGGTGAAGAATTGTGTGATCTGCTTCTCTCTGAGCTTAGATCCAACTTCAAGTACAGTGAGGCTTTCATTTCCAGCTGTTTGGCTACCTGAAATAACGGACATCATTTCACCGTAGTTGAAACCATTGGCTGCCAAATGTTGATACACTTCCTCTCCAGTTAAGTAGTGTTTACATCTTTCTTTGATTGGCCCAAGGTCAACTCTCTCTGGAGTTTCATCCGCAGGTGTTTGCCTTATTATCGCTTCTGCGTGGACTGTCCTTCCATTCTTCAAAACAAATGTACTCAAAATGCTGGAGTCAACTTCACTGTGAGATTGTTTTATATCCAGGTTTGTCACTGTTCCAGATTTCAGATTGACTGGGCTCCTGAAGGCCACAGAAACACTGATTGTACATAGGTGGTACATGTCAATCATTCTGGCTAAAGCAAGTGCTGCCTCAGCATGGACGGCACCTGGTAAAATGATTGCTCCTTTTACTCTGTGTTCAAAAACACTCTTGAATCTCTGAGGGTCAATGACTAAGCTTGCTGACAATGTGTTGCCTTTGATAAACAAGTGATCTCCTTCAGTTTCCTTCTGACCCTTGAGCATTTGTTGTTTACTTTCAGACACCACTAACAGGGGCTTAGTATTGAAGACATAAGATGGATAGCTTGTTATTTGCATCTTATCAGGAAAGAAAGCGTCCCATTTGACGTTAACTCCATAGTCATACATCAAGATGAGTGACTGCAGAATGTCACCGTAACTCGCTTTGGGGTGAAGAGAAGGAATGGATGTGACAGAGGGGGTAGAATCTCTGAAGATGTCCCGTAGATGTGATTTAAGTACAGTCCGTGGGCCTATTTCAACAAAAATGTTCATTTTGGATGTTTGTGCGGCGCTTTTGATTGCATCACAAAATCTAACAGGACTTCTTACATTTAGGCCCCAATAGATCTTTGACATGACTGTACTTTCATCCATATCAGGATCGACTGTCGAGACAAATCTGCTTGTCATCTCAGATGTCTTGATATCGGATAAGATTTCATCAAGCTGAACTCTTGCTGAGTCCATAAAGTGACTGTGGAACGCACTTGTAACAGGGAGCTCATGATACTGTGCATTACTATCTGAAGAATGCTTCAAATCCTCTTTGACTAACTGAACGGACCTCTCATCCCCACTGACGGTGCAGGAAATCGGGCTGTAATAAAGAGCTACATCTATCTTACTCTGAATTTTCCTACAGGCTGTCTTTACTTGTTCTGTCTCAACATTCCGGACAAGCATCATCTTTCCGCCTGTGGCTTCAGCCAGGATCCGAGTCCTGTGGTAGATGACCCTCACAGCTTCATCCAAGGACAGGATTCCTGCAACATGTGCTGCAGCCACCTCCCCAACTGACTGACCTACAACAGCTGCAGGCTTCACCCCCCAGGTTTCCCACAGGTGAGCGAGAGACACCTGACAAGCAAAAATGGCTATTGGACCGAACAGAGGATCGTTCACATCATCACATTCAAGGAGCCGCTTCATCAGGGACCATTGTACAAACCTGGAGAGGGATTTGTCAATTTCCAAAATGTTTTCCTTAAACTGATCATTGTTGGAGATGAGATCATTGCACATTCCTTCCCAGGCTGTTCCCATGCCACAGAAAACAAATACAATGTTTGCTTTTTCCGAATAAGATGGCTGGTTTCTCTTTTGTAACTCTTCTTGTATTTGAGATATCAGAATAGAATGGTTGTTTGGAAAGAAAGCTTTTCTGAACGGAAAATGTTCTCTTGCCATACATGAAGTGTAAGCAACAGCACTGAAAGAAGAACTGTTACCACTTTCAGTGAATTTTGCTATTGACTTGTTTAACGTTTTCTCACTGGAGCCTGAAAAACAAACTGGTAGCGCAATGTCATTCATAACCGGTGTCTCCATTGTGAACGATGTTAACACAGCATGGCTGTTGCTACCCCCAAATCCAAATGAGTTGATACATGCAATCTTTTTATGACGTTTCCAGTCAGTATTTTCCGTTGGTACTACAAACTGAAATCTGTCAAAGTCTATTGCTTCATTGGGCTTGTCAAAGTGAAGGGATGGGACAATGGTGTCGTGTTTCATCATCAACAGGACCTTGATGAGTCCGGCAACACCTGCAGCTGCTTCTAGATGGCCGATGTTGGTCTTCACTGACCCGATGTGGCGCTGGCGTGGATACTTCTCAAAGAAGGTTCCCAGAGCGGAAGCTTCTACTGGATCACCTCTTTTGGTTCCAGTACCTGAAGTGACAATGTTTTGAGTTGACAACTTTCGACATCAGAGATATGTCATAAAAACATATACATAGGCCACTTTAAGCTAATGCAAGAACAAATATGTCAGTTATGTTTGTTTATACGTGCTGATATCTCAATACTGAATAAGAAATAAAAATGATCAAACCATTGGAGCCTTTCTGATGGGTTCATTAGGAATTCCACAATGAAGGAGGAAAGTACTATTTAAGAAATAACCCTTCTTTGTTTTGGAACACAAGGTATATTTTGGGTCACTGCTGCGAAGCATGAAAGATTTTTGTGAGATACAATAGTATATTTTTTTCTAATAGTTTACACAGCAAAAATAACAAGGATTCCAGATTTCCGGAAACCTACATGAAACTGCGTAATGCCAGAATCATGTAGGTTTCCGCTCACAGAAACATTGATTGTTGGTTTCAGACAGTTTTCTGTTGCTGAATCAAGGTTAGTTTCAGTGACCGACTGGAAACTGCCAGCAACCAACAAGGTTAGTTTTCAGAAATGGAAATATACTATCATTGTTAGTTTCTATTCCATAAAGCAACTGGAAACGATTACTGATGATTTCCATTGTTGAGAACTCCAATGAAACGATCATAGAAGAAATTAATTTGACTCCATATATATATATATATATATATATATATATATATATATATATATATCCATGAATCCAGAAACCTATATTAACCTACGTTAAACTGCCTATGTATTACATAGGTTTCGGTTAAGTGATCTCAGTGTTTGTGTAGACCAGAATTCAAATAAAACATAGTGTCACATAAAATAAATTAATTTCAGGAAAACGGAAACCAAAATGAAAAAATATGGAAGCTTAAGATTCCACTCAGTTTCCTTAACGTTTTGTTAAATTTACGGAAAACTGAAACTTACATATTGCTGAGAAACCGATAAGGCTCCATTGCCACCGTCAGCAATATTCTAGTAATGTCACAGTGGTCTGTAAATAATCGAGTCCTTATTAGATAAGTCACTATATATCTGCAATAATGCTGATGTGACTTTAAAGATAACCTTATTAGACAATCAAGTGATTGGCATCATCTACGTATCTGGGAAATGGATGAAACAAATCAGTGATCCTGCCATTCGAACTCGTAAATAACTGAAGGCCAAATATAACCTTGGTATTCACTAGGGCCCCATACCTCGGGAAAAGACGAAAAACTACGTACCATGAGCTTCAATATAGTCTACTTCAGTCGGGTCGATCCCATACCGTGTGTAGATGTCATTCAGCAGTTCCTGCTGTTGTTTCCCTGATGGTGCTGTGATGGGTGTAACCTGGCGGCCATCTTGATTCAACCCCGTGACAATAGTTCCCCAAATATTGTCACCATCATGCAAAGCCTGAAATATATAATTAACGGGATAAATGTTTTTGCTTTACTTTGAGGATTGAAGATTGACATGGTGGTTTCATGGTTATGTCAAACAGATCCGTTACGGCCTCATGTAGGTTATTAATCGGGAATGCCTATACAAGTGTCATACCTGACTTAGGAGTTTGACGATGATAACCCCACATCCCTCTCCTCTGGTGTAACCATCTGCATTTGCTGAGAAGGCGTGGCACTGTCCAGTGGGAGACAACATCTGAGCTTTGCTTAACTTGATAAAATATGCTGGGTGAATTAACAGGTTCACACCTCCGCAAATTGCAACAGAACAGTCCCCTGAAAGTTATAAACATAAACAAAGGTTCAAAAAGAAACACATATATACATATGCACCTCTCAGGCAACATAGGGTGTGAGACTAGTGATGAACACTGGTCAGCGTTTCTAATATCGAGACCCTGAAATGTAAAGGAGGATAAATGAAAACAGCTCTTTACATGTTGACTGATTCTTTCCCTCACATATGTGATCCTTAGGAGACTGGATATCACATAACCTATCTCATTTGGAGATATATAGTCACCTAAGTTTGAATCACTGAAATAGTTCGACTGCCTTTGTTGGTTCGTGCAATGTCACATAATATTCTGTTTCATGGCAGGAGCTGACTACAGCTTTCCGGATGAAGTCAAGGCTACAACAGAAGCTTGGTTTTGGGACCAGTCAAAAGACTTCTATTTCCAGGGTATTGTCAGCTTGCAGCACAAATGGGTAAAGTGTATTGAACTGAAGGGACACTATAGTGAAAATAAAAGTTCGTAACCTGCTCTGACAGTGCAGCTTGGTATAGTCTGTACCAAGCTGCATTGAGTACCCGTGATGTTATGCTTTACCCACCTCCTCTGATTAGCTTTAATTATCTGGTATTCCCATCTACTCTGAATGTTCGTCATGTGAATCTTTACCCACCTGCCCTGAGTGCAAGTCCTGCCTGGTGTAATGCCACGATGGATGAGGAACACGCTGTGTCTATGGTCATGGAAGTTCCTGTTAGGTTGTACAAATAGGACACCCTGTTGGATATTATAGACCTGGCCTGGCCTGTCACAGTGTGGTTGGTGACGTCTTGTGATTTGGTAGAGATCAAGTCCCCGTAATCCACCGTCATGGAACCTATAATAATTTATTTTTTTATTGTTTAGAACATACAGGTTTTACATATGATTATACACCCTTAAAAAACAGAAACGCACGGGCCTTTTCAGAAGTTCATTTCCATATATTGTTTACAGCAATCGTCATTAACACAATTCCTATGTTTGAATCTAGTTAATCATGCCGTGGTTGTTGTGCATTGCGCGCAAACGCATCCCAAAATGGTTTGTAAACGTTTGTCTTTAAATATGACAACATTACTTGAAAAGTGCATGCAGACAAAGTTTTCCACGTAATGTACGTGCAATGTGTTGGAAACATGAGTTGAGACATCTGCCAAACCAAAGTTGTCAATTCATTACGAAATTTACGACGTAAACGCAGATACAAAATGCCAAGATCGAATGCCACTGACCAACATATCGCCATTGGACGTTTGGAAGCAGGGGAGTCACAGGCTGTCGTTGGGAAGACACTTCAACGTCCACCATAGCACCACAGCACGATTATGGCACCGATGTACACGGTTCAATTTGACCAAAGATCGTCCCAGAAGTGTTAGACCATGAGTGACCACTCTTTTGAGGGCCGATTCATCCGGGTGTTTCACCTACGTCACCGATTTGCTACGGCCACTGCAAGACATATCGACCAAAAGTTGGACCTATCCTGACACGACTACACCTACAACGTGTCCTATGGTGCAACATGGTACAGTCATGGAATTTGGGGAAGTGGTGACGGCTTGAGTTCAGCGATGAATCGCGTTTCTTCCTGCAATGAGACAACGTGTCTATCGAACCGACGCGAACGTTTTGCGGCGGACTGCATTCGACAGGTGATGATTTGGTGGAGATAGCATTATGGTGTGGGGTGCCATGCACTACACGGGTAGATCATAGCTGTGGTGGTTCATGGCATTCAGCAAATCGCAACATCGACCAAATATTGCGACTTCACCTCCTCCCACTTTTTAACCGCCAGAGGGAGCTGTTCCAACACGACAACGCTCGACCCCACACAGCTCGTGTAACAGGTGCGTATCTGGCCAATGCAAACGTCACTAATCTTCCCTGGCCCTTCCACATCGCCGGATCTGAACCAGACCGAGCATGTATAGGACGAACTTGATCGACGCGTCCGTAAACGTCACCATCGTCCTTGGATACTCAGAAGAATTCCCAAAGCAAAATCCGACGAATTGTTTAATCCCTTCCAAAGCGGTGTCGAACAGTGACAGCTGCTAGGTACTGACCTGAACGCCCCCTGTGCCGAATTTCCTTTATCTATGTTCAAGCTTAAGCGACCTATGTACACTTAAATACGTTTAATGCATCTTATTTCTGGCCCGTGTGTGTCTTCTTTAGATGTATACTCATGCAATACAAAGAACATTTAAGCATACCACTACCACAAAGATGGCTGTTTCGAATTACTTATAAAACTTAATGAATGACAACGTCATTATAATCTTAATACTTGACATTGTTGTTGAGTGGTGTTCGACTGTAAATAATTGAAAATGTAATGAGACTAAAAATTTGAGTTGCTTAACTTTTTGTGAAGAGTATATATTGAATACTGCTATGAGTACTAAACAACACACGACCAAAATCTAAATTCCAAACTCTTTGGTACGAACAAACCTATGTAGACTCCCACTTTCTGTCCTGCTATTTGTTGTCTGGTGATGCCGGCGTCCTCCAGAGCCATGTACGTGCACTCCAACACCTGGCGCTGCTGGGGGTCCATCTGGGCAGCCTCGGTTTCGTTGATTTTAAAAAGTTTGTTGTCGAAGTGATCGAAGCTGAAGGATTATATATCAGTTCTATATTTTTTGTATATTCGTACAGGGCACAATGTTTATGTTAGTACAAACTTATACAAAACTTCACCTGGACATTACTTTGTATTGAATTAATAAACGTTTCTCTAAGTATTTTATGCAAGCGTTTTGGGGATGACTGGCGTATAATACTTCTGTACTCACTTCTTTAATAGCCCTGCTCTTATGGAATAGCTCTTCCCTACAGCATTGATATCAGAGTCATAGAAGGCATCCATGTTCCATCTCTCAGGGGGGATGTCAACCACATGGTTCTCTCCCTTTGCAAGGATATCCCAAAATTCCTCCAGGCAGGTGGCGCCAGGAAACCGGCACCCAATGCCAACAATGGCTATTCCATCAGCCATTGCTCAATATGGCAAGTTCCTGCTTTAATAAGAAGTAATGAATTAAAAAGTAAGTTTGACATTGTTCACCGAAACTTTTGGAAATATTTGTTATATACAGGGTATAGGACAGCCTGTGGCGGCCTTTGGAGAATGTAGTAGAGTGTCATGGCATATCATATTTCATGTATGAAGTAATGGCTTCAAATGTACATGAAACCATTTCCATTTCAATGTTATAACGTTACTGTTGACGGCCGACAGAAAACGCCAAATATGGGCAACTTATGTATAATATTTCTTTATGGTTTGCACATAAAGTCTGGTTTGCACAAGATGTAGGTGATACTAATCTATTCGTTTATATGTTCAGTCAAAGGGTCTTTGACTGTGCACTTCGCGAGATCACATCACATCACATGAATTCACTTTGTCTCATAAATTCAATTTAATATCTGAACAGTATCTTTTAAATAGTAATATTTGTGAGTATAAACGACTACTAAATTAAGAATTGGTCATAACGCCCTCAGTGTCCAGTTGGTCCGCAGAGGCTTATGAAGCTGTAATGATCAAACTGTTTTGAGTAAGCATTGTAATGAAACTGAAGACGAAATACATGTTATTTACACGCTGTGTGATCTACGATCGTGAATGGAAATATTTAATTCCCAGAACTGCAAATGATGATTACTATATTTTACAAAGAATATGTCAACATGTCCTGTTAAATAATGCCAGGTTCCTGAATTATATCTTAACAGTAACATTAAGTGTTTGTTATCCGTTATGAAATAACTTTCTTAATCATCTAACTTGTAAACCTTTTTCTGTAAAACTAGGGATGGCCTTCATGCAAATAAACGCTGTATGTCTGCCTGGTTTCAGCAGATTTGTTTGGAAGTGCTGGCACACTGTGCTTATACATACAGTCAGTTGTATTTGTCAGGATATCTTGTTTTCAAGAAACCTACCACCCGCATGGTTATGTTCAATAACGTCAGGGTAAAAATAAATGGACACTAAATGGATAAACCCTGAAATTGCTGACTAATTTTTCAAAATCATAATTGAAAAACAACAGCGACTACTTCAAGTAAAGGTTGATGAAAAAGACGTTTCGACGCATCCTGACGACAAAACATTATTCTAATAAATTTATTCCTTTTAATTTACATAAATCTTTAAATACATTGTTAAAGTCAAGAACTTGATTTCATCAATGTTTCATAGTGATTCATAAACACATGCTCATTATATAACCATATCTTGCAATCAACCTTTGGCAAAGTTGTTTTGAGAAAATGGAAAGTTTTTGGTTTTGTTGTTTTGCAGGGTTTTTTGCGAAAATCACAATTGCAAAAAAACAGAATCTTCTTCAAACATAAAAGTTGTTCAAATGGATTACTATAAGCAATATGTACAAGCATACAAAACATAAACTGTTACATATAAAATTGGAATTGTTTGTATTCATTTTCATTTAGCGACATAATCCATTGCATCATGATCTATTCAATAGACTAATAATATATCTTGGCAATCACAAAACGTTCGCATTTATGGCCTTGTTTCTGACAATGTGAATTATTCTGCATAGGAGATAAACGGTGAAAATCTGAAATCAAATCAATTATAAAGCATGTAAAATTAAATATCTTGGAGAAATAATAAACATATACTATATTTTTGCATATTCTTCTCTTTTTGCGTATTACTGCTATTCCAGCACTCTAAAGGGAGGACTCTGCAGTTTTCCTGTTTAATACAAATGAACATATATGGTGATAAATACGAAGAACCTTTCAGATGGCGTTCCACTCTTCTCTGTGGTAGCTCCTAGAATCGGTCTCTAATATACCTGAAAACGTTTCAAGGAATCATTAGGTTAGAACATAAATGCTATAGTTGTTCTAGTGTTATGGAGTAATCCTAATCGTTTAATGTTATTTCATACATTTGATATTCCAAATATATTGAATCAAAATGATGACATGTAAAACAAACCGCCTCCGTGGTGTAGTGGTTAGAGCGTCCGCCCGGAGAGCGGAAGGTCGCGGGTTCGATCCCTGACCGCGTCATACCAAAAGACGTTAAAATATGGTACTTGTTGGTCCCTGCCTGGTGCTCGGCATTAATGGATACAACAAGGACTGGTCGGCTCGGAGTCAGTATAATGTGTCTGAGTGGGGTATCCATGCTTCACTGCGACATGGTATCTCAGTGGGCTAGCACTATAAAACCAGCTTCAGTCTGGGCTAGTACAAGCGGCCGCACATACACATACACACGCAGGCTCGTCGTCATATGAGCGAAATATTCTCAAGCACGACGTAAAATCCACTTTCACCTCACCTCACCTCACATGTAAAACATGAAGCATGCAAAACGTTATATGGATACTAGCATTCCGCTGACCAAGACTGATCGTTCTATGCAATACCCGTGCGTTTCCAGAAGGAAATTAATGGATTACATGGAACATATGTGTGCTATAAATGGTTAAAACGAAAATGACATTTCAATGTACAAATATACACGATTGCAACCTATCGGCATGCCCAAATCCACTCTCCCGACATCGGGAGCTTTGTGGCTAAATCATGTTATGGTCACGCCCAAACTTGGTTTACGATTCTCCTCGTGGTGTGATGATTGCCATGTGCTTCATGTTATACATCAAGTGGCCGAAGCTCAAGCACATTGACGCAAGTATGGCTGATAACCACATTGTGTTCGTATCAAGTTACATCGGGTGTCTTTCAACAAAATGTAGCATTAATACATGCAGACACAAAATGCAAATTGCAAAGTTCATGAATTGTAAGCTTAGACCGCTAAGAAATTATTTGATGTGCTCATACATACTGAATGCCTTCATAATTCTCAAGACCGTTGTTGCTATGAATATATTGTACTATATACCCACTGAGAATATATATCCGTTTCGGGTGTCCCCCGCCGTGATGTTGCTGGAATATTGCTAAAAGCGGCGTAAAACCAAACTCAGTCAGTCAGTCTGAGAATATACAGAGCTTACATACAAACAGACAGACAGACAGACTAATTAATAAAGTCTCACTTCATATAAAATAACCACATACAGAATAAAATCATTAAAAGTGAGTCACCCGTCAACATACTATAGAGCAGTATTACACAGCACATAGCATGTACAAAATCAGACAACATATTTGAACAATAAAATGTAAAATCACAAAGAGCATACTCTATGAATAATAGTTTGTTGTCTTGTTGTTAACGCCGCGCACTTTTCCATCTATATGATGGCGGTCTGTAAATGATCGAGTCTGATCGACAATCCAGTGATTGAGATCATGATAATCGATCTATGCAACTGTGATACGATGACATGCATTATCCAAGTCAGCACAACTGACCATCCAATCCTGGCAGTCACCTCTTACGAGTGGCTAAAGACTAAAACTAAAATGAATTTAACGGGTCTATAAATAATAGGTTAAGATGCTATGATATAAGTACAAAATATGGCAGCATCTGACAACCTGGACTTTGTTTGTGTATAGTTTCAGGAAAGAATACCTGGTACTCTTTCGAGACACGCACCACTTTATGAACGGTCAAACATGTTATGTTGCCATTGAAACAGGAAGCCAATTCATTGTTTTAAATTCCAAAATAGCAAAGGGCTCTTAGTAAAACATGTAAGGGGGGTGGGGGTGGAGGAACGGGGAGAGCCGCTTTGGTGCTTGGTTGTTGTTCAGGGGTTTAGTTTTTATTGTTAGTTGTTGTTGTTTTTTGTGTAGCGTTCGTGTTCGTTCAATAAAACAAACACTCTTTACATATAGGCGTTGATTTTGCATGGAGATTTTTGGGTTTTTTTGTCTTGGGGGAAGGGAGGAGGGATCTTAAATGGCATGTGTGTGTGGTGTGGGTGGGGTGAGGCTGTGGTTGAGAGAGAGACAGACAGACAGACAGACAGACATAGACACACAGACGGGGTGTTTGGGGTCTAAACGAAGTCGATTGTGTAGTGGCATGTAACATTGAGTTCGTGTTGGCGTATTAAAGCAAACGCTCTTTAGATAAAGGCGTTGATTTTGTATGGAGTCTGGAATATGTCAGGGGATGCTACACTCAAGCTCGCCGTGTCTTCACTGCTGGCCTTACTCTGATATGAAAGCGTATTAGTACCAGTCTAAACATATGTCAGAATCTACTAGATGATGACATTTCAATGTACAAATATACACGATTGCAACCTATCGGCATGCCCAAATCCACTCTCCCGACATCGGGAGCTTTGTGGCTAAATCATGTTATGGTCACGCCCAAACTTGGTTTACGATTCTCCTCGTGGTGTGATGATTGCCATGTGCTTCATGTTATACATCAAGTGGCCGAAGCTCAAGCACATTGACGCAAGTATGGCTGATAACCACATTGTGTTCGTATCAAGTTACATCGGGTGTCTTTCAACAAAATGTAGCATTAATACATGCAGACACAAAATGCAAATTGCAAAGTTCATGAATTGTAAGCTTAGACCGCTAAGAAATTATTTGATGTGCTCATACATACTGAATGCCTTCATAATTCTCAAGACCGTTGTTTCTATGAATATATTGTACTATATACCACTGAGAATATATATCCGTTTCGGGTGTCCCCGCCGTGATGTTGCTGGAATATTGCTAAAAGCCGCGTAAAACCAAACTCAGTCAGTCAGTCTGAGAATATACAGAGCTTACATACAAACAGACAGACAGACAGACTAATTAATAAAGTCTCACTTCATATAAAATAACCACATACAGATAAAAATCATTAAAAGTGAGTCACCCGTCAACATACTATAGAGCAGTATTACACAGCACATAGCATGTACAAAATCAGACAACATATTTGAACAATAAAATGTAAAATCACAAAGAGCATACTCTATGAATAATAGTTTGTTGTCTTGTTGTTAACGCCGCGCACTTTTCCATCTATATGATGGCGGTCTGTAAATGATCGAGTCTGATCGACAATCCAGTGATTGAGATCATGATAATCGATCTATGCAACTGTGATACGATG